TCGTCTGCAGTTTGAATGCGACCGTCTGCCAAACTCTTCTTTTTATGGAGCTTTTTGACATTGTTTTTTAAATAATAATTGCATTATGCTTAATTTAATTTCTAAGCCTGGTACAATTTTCATTATGGCAGAAAAAAAATTAAGGTAATTCGTGAAGAAGTTGAAGACGTTTTTTACATTATATAATAGAGGTTATTTAAAAAAAAACTCAACTTTAAGCTCGTCTGCAGTTTGAATGCAACCGTCTGCAAAACCTTATTTATGCTGGCTAAAATGTCCACGGCATAGTTCGAACGGAACTATACACAAAGTTATTCTAAATTAGGACCTTTAGCGGTAGCGGTCAGGGGCGTTACCCGCGTCGGTCGCAGAACGCATCGGAACAGAGAAAAGATACATTTTGCGCGTTCCGAAGTAATTATAATATGGGAACGGAGGCAGTTTTGATATGTACGCGTCGCTAATTTTCTGTCAGAACTCGCGGCAGTTTTGAATTTTACTAATTAACTAGTTTGAACCGGTACAGCGTAGGGAATGTTAATTTTGCCCGATTCCGATGCCACTCCTCGCGTTTAATTTCTATCCACGCACTACGTAAACCAATCTGGGTAGGATTTTTTTTTAATTAAGAGGAACTGGCAATTTTTTTCAATATTGAATTGAATTTAATATGAATTTTTCCAAATACCACCAAACAAACACTGCTCGAAGCTGCAAACGCCACCTTAGGGGTTATCTTTTTCTCTCGTCTTCTCTTTTTAAGTAGACGGTAGCAGAAAACATATACAAAGTCTAGTATATATAACGTATTGAACAAAACGTTTCAAGTAATTATGGGATCAGATCTCAGCTCACCATCCCTTGACTGGGCACTACCAACAAGAAGCAGCTCGTTTGCGGCAACAGGGGAACTTGGGAAGATACTACAGAAAATAGAAAATTCAGTTAAACCCCACCAAAGCAGAGGTAACCTGTTAACATCTCAACAATAATCTCGAAAATAGAGACTTTACAATACAATTTGCCCTAATCTTGCTCTCACACAGCAAAAAACTAAAATATTTTCTTCTTGATTCTCTCTCATTTAAAGAACATATAACGTAAACAGAAAAAAAATTAAAACCATAAACAGTATCGTACAAAAGTTTAGTGGAACTAAAACTGCTGCTGAATATTGTGATATTGTGTGCCAGTGTGGCTTAACAGTCCTCAATGGAATCGATGTACTCCTGCAAGAGTTATCCACCGCCACTTATCTCCTCAAACTTCTTTCTTAGATTCCGAGTAACCAAGCCCTACCGATACATTAAATACCCATGGATATAACCAACGAGATTAGACCTGACCTGTAAAACCTGAATAGAATACCAACCCTTAATGGAAAATTCTCCTACCCCTTGCATACAGAAGGAAAGGTTCCGACACCCTTCGCGAGTAAAAACCGCAGTAAAAACCCAAAGTCACGCTGTAAACCGCGTTATAGAAGATTGCTTATGGTGTGACACTCAGAGACTTCCTCATGGCGACCACAGAAGCAATATCATCTCTAAACTGCTGTAATATCGTGTTATTTTTATCATTAAATTGTTCCATGGCCATGCAAGAAAGTGAAATAGTATAAAATGGGCTAAAGTTAAAACTGCTAATATTCCTTAGTCAATGCAATTGGCTCTTGGTTGCGAATATTATGTACGGGTGTTTCAAATTTTATTTTAAGATTAATGAGATGGATTATATTCGACGAATAACTTTAATCACGAATTAATTCATATCTAATTAATGGCATGCATGTATAATTATAAGGAACAATGAGCAGAGTGTCCTTGTATTCTATTCTAGAACCTTTATAATTTATTATTTATTTTAGTAAAACGGTGCCATTCTCTTAAAGCACAGAATAATTTTGCACACAGCAAACTACTTCAAAAATCGCAATTATGGCCCCGTAATCAATTTCGGTCTAGCTTCACTAGATAGGTTTAAAATGGCCCGTTTAAAATATCCTCCGTCAGAACTTACAATCATCAAAATATCATGGCTATAATCTACGGACGAGATCAAACCCGTGACTAAAATACCGGAAACGTTTGTGACTGTGAGTAATAAGGTTACACTTTCCGCACCCTCAATCAGTTGATAATTGAGTATTTTGGAGTATTGAGTAGACGAAATTAACTATTAGTGAATTGGTATATTAAAACGTTTGGTCTGTATTGAATAAAATTAATGTATAAATGATTTTTTTTGGTTAATTGGTTAATTAAGAGAGTCAGATCGTCAGGCACTAAAAAAAGTGTTTCAAAATATATCAGAACAACAGTGGACAGAAACAAGAAGGATCACAAGTACAAATAGAAAACGAAACAGTAAAAACAGCGATTGCCAAAGTGAAAAATGGAAAGTCATGTGAACCAGAGGGAATATACTCAGACTTATTAAAAAGCGGCACTGCGAAACTAATGACAGCGTTAACACATATCTTTAACAAGTTCCTGAATAGTCAGAAAGTTCCTAGTCAACGGAAAGTGGCATATATAACGTCCATTTACAAAAAAGGCCACAAAGAGGAGTGTCAAAATTACAGCGGGATATCAGTTAGAAGTTCAATTAGCAGATTATTTGGAAAGATATTGGTCGGATTCAACGGACACGCACACACAAATCCAACGTGTTGTGGAGTGGTCGCCAGTTTTAGTAGCGAGTTTATTTTGTGCTAGGTAGCGGTAGCAAAGCGATCGGTATTTTCAGAATTTGATCTTGAAAGAGGAATTTGGTTGGGGTGTATAGGGCAGTGATAGTGAGTACGAAATTTCAGCATAATAAATATATTTTATTTGTTATTATTTATATTATTATTAGTATTTACAAAATTTACAAAAAAATAATTTTTTCGGAGTCCCAACGGGAAAGTTTTCTCCTAGCTTTTGTAGATTTTCGACGATCATATCAAGGTATGTCTTTTTTCAAACAAACGGTAATATTAAAAAAAAATAGAGATGCAATTTTAAGTTATTTGCAGAATGTATTTTCATTAAACCGAAGAAATATGGGATAGGAAATGGAGAAACCTGAAAAAAACCTACACAGACACTAAAGACAATTTAGGGAAAACTGAAAGGGGTAGAATTTACGAGGAATATTATCACCAGGTTGATGAAATACATAGGGAGGACAAAACAGTTAACCTCCCTAACCTAATAACCTCGACAGCAGTTCCTGTTATAAGGAAAAAAGCCCCTTGCCGAAAATAAGAAAGACCCACCCGCTATCCCAGTGACTTCGCAAATGGAAACCACTCCAGTCAGAGCAACACCAATATCCCCCCCGTAGGTTAAATTTCCACATTTTTTTATTGGTATAATTAAAAAAATTAAAGGCTTATACATGCTTTTATGTTAGAAGTACAAAGGTTAGGGAGTCAAAGATTGGAATGTTTTATCTACGAAGAAGGCTGACAAGTCACGAGGAACCTCGAGTACAAGAAATTAACCTCTTCCGAAACGCCCTTGAAACAAGCATGTAAATCTAGGTGGAAAGAAATAAAATTTTGCACTTATTATCTGAATTACAAAAAAAGAGCAATAATTCAAAAACATATTTTTATTTGTTATAAAAGCATATTTGATTTGATTGCTCATTTCCACCCTCATCTGCAATATCCAGGTGGGTAGCTCCTCCTCAAAACATATCAAATGTCTCGCTGCGCCGGAACGTGCTAGATGTGGTAAATGCCAAAATAGACCTCTTCGTAACTCCTTACAGTCTTCGTAATACTTCTGATTTTTTGGTATTGGACACCTAACACCTTCTTTATCCTCAAATATTCGAATTGGTTGTGCGAATTCCAAAGCCATTTGACCAAATTATCTTCCGTCATTTCGTTTTGAATTAAAAGATCCGTTTCCACTAATTTCTGATGTAGGAGGTACTAGAGTACAAAGACGTTTCCACTTTATTAACACATATTAAATCAGCAGCACAAACACTGAATAAAATATACGAAAAAATCTAAATCTCAAAATCAAAAACACCCAAACAAAAATAAGACACCATAACCTCTACAAATATGTTCCCAATCGCTACCGCTACGAATCAGGAACGCTTTGCTACGTCCGCTGAATGCGTCCATTAAGAGAACTAATAGAGTCAGAATTAGTATAAGAATAAGAACAATTAGAGCCAGAAATTCATGCACTGACAACATATTCTGTATGAAGCAGATAATAGAGAAAAGGTCCACCGTCAATTTAGAAAAACATATCTTATTAATATTCCCACTAACCGGCTCTGGAAAGTATTGCAAGGCACCTCCATTAATCAAACTCTAATAAATGCCATCACAAAACTTTATAATAACTCTACTTCAAAAATAAAAACAAACAAACAAAGGGGCTTCGCCAGGGGTGCTGTATATCGCCAACCCTTTTTATAATTTATGTTAAAGAAGCCTTACTAAAATGGAAACAAAAATGTTTGGGAATGGGAATACCCCTAAAAGAGAGAACGGTATTTAGCCTACAGTTTGCAGACGATCAGGCAGCAATAGCAGGAGATAAAGAAGATCTAGAATATATGGCACGCAAACTAAAAGAAAACAACTGATCTGGTACGGCCATGTACAGGGTATGAACGACGACAGATTACCTGAACAAACACTGCCGAAAAATACGAGGGCGTCCAAAAACAACATGGCATTAGGGAGTTCGTAAAGCGATGAACTCGAGAAACTCAAACGATGGCCACTGGGCCATCCGTTCGTTTTTTGCACTCCAACTGGAATCCTTCAGACGTTTCGCCAAGCTCTCACTTGACATTTCCAATGATCGGGCTCCGAAAACACAAAACGAAAATTTTCTCAGAACTGAACCAAAAAATCCGACTCGAAGGACCAAAAAATGTGCTGTAACCGACGGGATCTAATTGTTTTTCCTGTAATGATACCGTCAAAACAACTAGACTTCTGCTTCACCAATGGACAATAAAAAAAAGCAAAACGTTATAACCGAATCTATATTAAAAATTATATTACACCTTTACACAGTATCGTTAAATACAAAACAATACGTACATACATACAATATGTACATACATCAATAAATCAACAGACGTAAAAAAAAATAATCCTAGAAACAAAAACATTCAAAAAATTTTTAGCTGTGCTACAACAATTAACCATAATTTAAAAAATATGTATATACTATAATTAAACTTATGCGATTTGGACTTTAATTTTGGGGAAATGTGTTTATTTTCTGGAATGTTTACAGGTTGTTTCTTAAATGCTTGTAACAACCGGGAGGACGTTGCTGACCTCAAAGCAAGAAATCGGAAAAAGATTGACAATGAATAAAAATCAGATATTCCTAAATCCTAAGTTTTATGTAATATTTTCTCTGAATTAGGGGTGAATGAGGATTTTTGAAAATTACAGGAATCTTAAGTAATTATTTTAACTAACACCCTGTATTCAAACAACGACAAACTAGTGGTTTAACGCAACTTTTCTGCTTTAATACAGTCACTGTCAACTTAATAGTTAATATTTAAAAATCCATATCATTAACATTCAAAGCTGTGAGTGATACATAAATTCTGGTTTTGAACTTTCATCTCAAATACTGAGTGTTCTCTATGCCTTAACTTTATTGAATACACATCTTCTTTTGGTTTACCTTATTCTACTATGTAACGTTAATATTCTATAATATTAGATATCTATAACAATAGAATCTAAGCGACGACACGTGGCTGGTTGTATACGGTCCTTTGCATTGTGTAATAATTACAGAATACCTACATATAAAATCCGTTTTTAACAACATATTAATTTTTGTTTAACATTTTTTTTCCATTCTGTGGTTGTATCTGTGTCCTTAATTCTCCTCGTCGTTGAATATGTCTTCTAACAGTTGCTTGGTAATAGTTCGGTGAGGCTTCGCAGGATCTAGCTTTGGCCTCCCGTAAAGCCGACTGTTTATTACATACAACCTACGAAGTAGAACCACGTTAAACACTAGATTTTTTTACGGAAACGATATTATAATTACAAACTCGAAATGGGCCAATTTACAAAAAAAGTTGAATGATATTTTAAAATTAATGATTACTGAACTCGCAGGGAGACGTCGATTCACAGATAATTTTCGAGACAAACAACTATATTACAAATGCAACAAATTAATTCAAAAGTGCTAGAAATTATTTTTAAATGCTCTGCAGGTCTCTGCAAAATTCCTTAGTTAAATTCATTGGTGCTTGCTTTATCTCTGAAAGGAAGTGGTGATAGTAATGGTTTTTTTAACATAATCGCAAAATGTATATTTATATATAAAAAAATAACAACGGTATGACTTTCTTAAATTATTACAACAATTAAATAAGAGTCCCACAACCCAGTGACTCAATGAAAGCTAAAACGAAAAAAAAATGATCGTAATAAATGTTGGAGAACTGGTAAAGGTTCAGAGGTATTGAAAAAATATTTTACTTTGACTTATTTGAGAAAATGTAGCAGAAAACTGATTTCCAAAACTCAAGAATGACCGAGTTACACTTCCTTTTTCAAACTTCTTGGCCCCTAACACGAGAGAAAATTGACAATTATTCAGTTGGGACTAACTTTTCGCTAAGTTCGCATCTGACGTTAAACCACCAATCGCAGACGAAAACTAGCTGACTAAATTGGGTGCCGTTCGGGCACAAGAAGGTGGTTTGTCTCCCGTCTATGTCGCAGTAGTGCCAAGTTTGACATCGCGTTTCCGGATCGGCGTAGAAGCCCGGGTAAGGCTGCTCGTCGCAGTAGAAGTTTGTGTAGGGAACCATTCCTAGTACTGGATAATCAGTACCGGGTCTTCCTAAAATTATAAAAATCTAGAAATGTGTGTATGTGAATATCGGTACTAATCGATATAGAGATAGAGAGGTGATTTGAAAAAAAAAATACATAAACACCTGTCCGATTCTTTACGGCTCCCAATTTATCGAAAATTTTGCGAATTTATCGAGATTTTCTATTTTTAATAATTACGACGGCATTACTTATTTTTGCTAGACTTAACATTAAAATAGTTATTACAGGAGATGCCGCATCCTGTATGAAATGCAATGATTACTACTTGCTAAGTGAAATATAAATAACTGCAGTTTTTTTCCATTTTTTTAACTACAACTTTGATGTGTGACTTAACGTAGCAGAAACATAAATTACCTAATGTAGTGAACAATTATTAAAAGAAAATATAGATTACGTCTTCTTTCAATTAAAGTTGATGTAATTTTTAAAAATATTAATTAAACATTTATTTAATACATAACGCTTCCTGATCAAAATTTCTACCACCCATTCTAGTACTCAATCTGCAACTTATAAAGTTATATTGAAGTAGAATTTTATTTATTTAAAAAAAGTTCCAAGCTGCTTACTAGGAGGCCTTGCATAAATAAAACACATAAATGTATATGCTATACAAGTAAATAAATAAACTATTTTCATGTAATAATTTCTATTGCATAACAATGTCTGTTTATGCGTATGCGCTCCAAAAACACAAAACGAAAGTTTTCTCACAACGGAACCAAAAAATGCGGCTCGAAGGACCCAAAAATGTGCCCTACCCGACGGGATCTAATTGTTCTTCCCGTAATAATACCGTTGAAACTAGGTAGACTGTACTACTGTTTTTCGAAATTCCTTAGAGCCGTAAATTTTTCGTTAGCGGTCGAAGCGGTCTCTTGCCAATCGCAAGGTGCTGCAGCCTGGATTAGCTGCAGTGTACAAAGTTGGACAACACTCTATACACTTAATTTTATAATCATCGAAACACTCAGTTTATCCTGAATACCCCAAATAAACGAAGACTTAAGAAAAATGAAAATAAGTCAATCGACATGTTTTTTTTTTTCAAAGAAGCTTTCACAGGTTACTGTAATACTTTTCATAAAACTTATGCATTCCTCCTGCGTCGGCTTTTGTTGAGTCCAACTAGCTAACGTTTCGAAAATCATCCTGTTGGCTTCTTCAGAGCTTGATTGAAACTGTTTCAAGATGATTGGCGAAACGTTAGTTAGTTCGACTCAACAAAAACCGACGCAGGAGGAATCCAGAAGTTTTATAAATAGCATATATTTCGATGCGGTACATTACATAAAAATTAAAAATTTTGATGTGATTTAAGTGTCAAAAAAACTTTAAAAAAATATATGACATTTTTCTCTTTCACCCAGAAACAAAATTATATTGGTTAATTGATTAATTTAGGTAAATAATAAAAAAACCTGGGAAAACAAACTGATTTTCTATCGGACATTTTTTTGAAACCCTTGTAATAGGGATATAAATATTGTAATTTACTAAGGCAATTTGTATGCGCTGTTTTAGAAGGAATCGAAAATTTATAGAAAATATTGTTTGATTTCTAAATAATAATGTATAAATTAGTCATACAACCAGAACACCCCATTCTCCGGTTTGCATAAATGGGAAATCTTTATTAATAGTCTTTTTCTACAGTAGAATTTGCCACAATTTTCTATGATACCATTGTCCTAAGGCAACGTTAAATTTATGTTTGATTCTCATATAATTGTATTTATAAGTGAGTTGGTGGGTCTGCCTTTTGATTTCCTGTCTTTGTAAAATTATCTCTTAAACACTAAAAAATAAAATACATACATACATAAATACATCTCCGCTAAATCTTTAAGACCTTCATAGTATTTCAAATTGGCACGATAGGTGTTTTCGAATCGTATGAGTTACGTTGATTATTTAGCTGCCACCAGTACTTATAGGAATGTCAATAAGAGCAGACCTTTTAGGAATCGAAAGAATGAACGTCAAAGAAAGTGGCAGTGGTTCAAAACTTAAATTAGAAACTTGATATATGACAAGAAAACCAAGTTTAGATGATCTTTTGTATTCCGAATGCCTGCAGAAGTTTAAAAACGCGTTGCAAATGGGTACCGGAAACCATGGAATTTCCTCGCTACACTCTCTATCGAATTTAAAATCTCAATATGATACTTTTCTCATGCTTGATCAGCGTATAATTGGGCATTTTAGAGTAGGGAGTAGAAAGAATATTTTCCTGGCCGCTTGCTTTTATTTTCACTAATTTTGTGTATAGTGTGTTGCCGACTTATAGTAAAATGATGCACTTTATCTATATGACTATAGTAAGCAAATTGTATTACGAATGTTGATCGGGAATAATGTCCATTTCATATGTAGATGTATGTATGAGATAAATTTTAGTTTTCGATAGGTTGTGTTTCACATATTCAAATTACCAATCCAACATAATGAAATGAAACAAAATTTTGAGGTCCGTTTCGAATTGATGGATGCATTCGAAATATATGACCAACGAAGGCGCAGTTGTGTGCAGTCTATATATATATATATATATATATATATATATATATATATATATATATATATATATATATATATATATATATATATATATATATATATATATATATATATATATATATATATATATATATATATATATATATATATATATATATATATATATATATATATATATATATATATATATATATATATATATATATATATATATATATATATATATATATATATATATATATATATATATATATATATATATATATATATATATATATATATATATATATATATATATATATATATATATATATATATATATATATATATATATATATATACATATATATATATATATATATATATATATATATATAGTGTTCGAAGTGTTTTCGGAGCGCGAGCATTGAAGATGCCAAGTGAGATTTTGGCGAAACGTCTGCAGGATTCCAGTCGGATGCAGGATTCCAGTCGGAGTTCAACGAGCGAACGGATGATATCCCGGAATATAGTGTCATCACATTTTTCCATCCGTGAATCAATACGTGAGAATATATATATATTATATATATATCGTATTACATGAAAAAAACTTTTTTTATTATTTTGTATACTAACACTACAAATGATCCCAGTTTCTTTGTTAGCAAGGACCAAAATCTAAACAAATACTTATCGATCGGTGTCGAGCAGGACAAGACCGTTGGAAAGAAACTAAAATTAAATGAAAATGAGGTTTTATGAACTTCATTCTGTCTTTCTTCCAAATGGCTTTGTTCAATATTTATATTAGAAGATCGATATAGGGAAACTTGAACAAAAATAGGTGAGTTTCTTTCTTAGAATTCAAAAACGAGAAAACCGTGTTTCTAGACTCCGGTGCAAGATGTTAGTTTTCAAAACTAACCCTGTATGTTCCATCTAAAATGGTCTGCCAGAAAAGAACGCCTGAGCCCTTCCAGGAACTATCTGTAAAAGTTCTGCTTTCCAATTAATTAAAGCTAAGCTAAGCGAACTATTAAGATTTCTTCGAGATTCCAAAATGCTTAAAAATGTAGGAAATTATTTTTAATTTTGATAACGGAAGACACAGGTTTATTGAAAGCTGAACAAAATCTACTTTATTTCTTGCGTAGAAAAAATAAAATGATATGCAGAGAGTGCCATTTAAACTAAGTAAAACGTTACCACGTCTATATATATAGCAGCGGCAACAATGTACCCCTGAAAATATTTTAGGACGATAGAGCACCGTCTCTTGCATCACCCATAATTTAAAGTACATCCGCTAATCCGTTCGCCAGATACTTCTAATATGCCATCCATTTTGCGCGTTAGAAGCAATAATGGATGTCGATCCGCCACACGCTAACTACGCATATAAACGAGTACGTACTGCGCAATTTACGGTTACATTAATTTCTTTTATGCTGTCCGCGACAATCAGAGCAAGGACGGCGTCGCTATTGAGCATCGGCCGATCTGAAAAAGACGGAAGGCCCTTAAGGCATCGCCAAAGGAATTAATGTCACGGCTAGACTAATAGTGTCGTTTATCAACAGAGTGCAGCGTGTTTCTTCGAAGGCGATTCAAGGTTTTTTGCGCAAACTCATTAACTAAATAAAGTCGCTATCCCATCTGGTTGCAAAATAAAATTCGTCCAGAGATTTTAACATTTCAGCTCATGACTTGGATTTTTATACGTGACCTGAAATTAGAATTAGTCAACCAGTAACAAAATCTTCCACTACACCACTAACTCTCGATATGGCCAGCGAAATCCGGAGATTTGGAAAGAATGGATATACGTGTAAAGTCAAACAGAAGATGTCGGAAAGGAGAATAAGCAGGGTAAGGAGTACGCAGAAAATGAGACTCAACTTAACTACAAACCAAAGTCTAGAAAGTAAAAAAACAACAAAAATAACAGAAAGCAACGCCCAGCAAGAACACTTCGACGTAAATAATGGAAAAGCAACGCGAAGAAGAAGAAAGTAAAATTTTGCCGATGTATTCCATTGCAACACTTAATTGAGTTATAATTGCAGATAAAATAATCAATGTTTGGAAATATAAAATGGAACATGTTTTAAAATAATTTGGTTAGTTTTGGTTAAAATTTTTCACAGAATCCCAAAAACTATATTTGTAATTGATTCCCTGCAAGCAGTAGGCGAGAACATTTTTGTTATTGACAAACAAACTAGTTTTTAATTTGACAAAATTACAATCAGGTATTCTTATTATGTAATAATATTTATTTTTAGTCATTTGTTTAGAAAAGCTACTAAGGAAACCATTTTACCAATGTCACTGGAAAGTGACCCTAGATTACTAGATTCCAAGTAGCAATTCGTTCTTTAGAGAAGACTAAATGAAAATTTCAACAAAGCTGTTTGCAAATTTACGCCCCACTTAAACAGATTGAAAATTAAAAATATCACAAACGTGGATGTTGGACACCGAGTTCACTGTAATGTTTAATGGAGGTAATAAAGTAAAAACATAACAACTATTGATAGCATATCGCACTGAAAACTGTTTGATTTAGTTTTCTTTAAAATTCATGAAGGATTTGGATTTTAAATTGCAGTTTTAAACGAGCAACGATATAAACGAAAACCGGAAAGTTCCTGCTGTAGAAATTTTGAAAAATTTTAAAACTTTGCAATTTATGATTTATGGCTAGCATATTTTACCCACATCTAGACCAATTTGAAATATTACGGGTGTGTGATAAATATAAATAAAATAAATAAATATCAGGTATAGGTTTACGGTACTTGTGAAGAAAGAACTCGTACTCTAAAGCAGTACTTTAAGGGCACTTTGGAAAATTTCGAAGATAACAATGAAAATATGCAAGGAAACATACAGAGTGACAGATGATATGCAAAAAACTTAATTGAAATTAAGTTATATTTGTGGAAAATTATTACAACGTCATAATAAATAAAATATATTGAAAGAATTTAATTTCAACACTACTATGATAATATATTAATATTTTTTTGTGATTTGTATTCATGAAAAAAAAAGAGTTTTTGTACCAGTGCAAGAAGTAAACCAGTGCGAAAAGTATTAAGTAACCAAATCTAACCACAAGTGTATTTTTACACTAGCGTTTTTTGTGCATCTCATGTTTTCTATACATGCGCTCCCAAAAATAACTATTTTACTTCAGGTAATAGAAAATATTATCAAATATCGCATCAAATGTAGATCACTTTTAGTTTGAAGAAGTTAAATTGGTATTTGCAGGCACTTTTGCTGAGATATTTATACTTCTTTCAATACAAAATATCGCTTGTTACGTTACAATATAATTGGAATTTCGAAGAAGTTTGCAATATTAGCATTGCCAAAAAGGAAATTTCAATGATGCATGACTTTTGAGCCGCTCCGTATAACGAAAAATTCATTTATCGAACAATTGCTTCATGCCACGGACAGTATAATTTATATGTACCTACCAGGTATGGACTTGCCCAGTTCTAGATATTCCAACACCGACGGACTCAAAAATCCCGGGGGCACAAAGTTTGCATTTAGGTCTTTGTTTCGCTCCTCCAGGTCGTTTTCTACATCGTTCTCTGGCTCTGTGGAAAGCGCTCTGGGCCTCTTTGACCTCGACTTTTGCTCGAAACCGTCTGTAACATAAGAAAACATGGTTTATTGTAGAGAAATAAATTGGGGTTTGGGCAAAAATAGTTCGCAATTTGCTGAATCGATTATGATTTGAAAGTACTTTCATTTGACACGGTGGTGCCAAAAATTCGCAAGGTACAGAGCAATATTTTTTTATTTGACAATCAGTATAAAATAATAATAATAATAATAATAATAATAATAATAATTAATAATAATAATAACAATAATAATAATAATAATAATAATAATAATAATAATAATAACAATAATAATAATAATAATATAAAATAATATAAAAAAAATATAAAAAAAAACTTGAAAAAATGTTATAGATAATTTGCTTGTTTTTTATCATAAGTCGCAAATTATTCCTAGGTATTTACGACTGAAACACTTTTCAAACTAAAGAGACAAAAACAGACTTCTCTGTGTGGAGTACCAATTTATTTTGATATAGCCAGGAGTATACAATATCCAGAGTTGATGACATGGCTGTTAAAAGTTCGGGCCATTGAGTTTGCTTTCGTTGCATCCGCATATGCTATTAAGGTATCTTCCAAAACCAACAAATCATTTATATATAAGATGAACAATATTGGTCCAAGCATTGAGCCCTGAGGAACTCCAACATTTGTTTTAACTTAATTTTTCTTTAACTTTCGCAGGCTACTGTAATTAAATTTACAAAACTTCTGGATTCCTCCTGCTTCGGTTGTTGTTGAGTTGAACTTGCCAATGTTTCGCCAAGTTTGACTCAACAACAACCGACTCAGGAAGAATCCAGAAAATTGGTAAATAGCATTTGTTTTAACTTGTTGACTTTTAATACAATTTACCCTTAGAATTTGGCGTCTACCTTTCAGATAACTTGCTATCAAGGTCTAACTTACACCCCTTATTCAAAAGTTTTTGTTGTTCATAGCTAAATTTGCCAAGAAAAGTTGTAGCATTATCTGTGCCTTTCTTCTTGAAGAAACCAAATTGCCTTAAACTTAATATATTGTGTTCATTAAGAAAGTTGAATAACCCGACAATTTTTTTTTCAAATTTTAGCAAGATTCGACGTTGCTTATAAACGGGACAAATTACAGCTGTCTTGAATTGATATGGACAAGTACCTTGGGCATGGCAATATTTATGATGTGAGTTTGTTCCCTAGTAATTTAGTCACACACACCGTCAAATTTCAACAAAACGCTCAAAAAGATTATATTAATGATTTTTCACCAGCAATGTTACTTCTAATAACTGAGCGGGTCGACAAATTCATCCGTAAAACCCGATACCGATCTATCCGTTTATAGACATAATTTCTTCATGGCTTAGTGAAACACAACATCGATAATATCGTTTGAGTAAATTGATTGAGTTTGTTTCTGGGTCGGATGTAAACAGAGTTGCTTTCTTTCCAAATAGCCGCAGCGGCTACAAATTCTGTGCCAAATTTAGATGCATATTGCATTTAAATTTCGTACTACGTCTTTGACATTGTTGCATTTAAGTAATAAGTCCAGTTAAGAGTTAAAAAAGCTATAGTCTGACTTTAGAGAAAAGAGAGTTCTGGTGGTCTGTGTTGGTCTGTTTAGCTTAATTCGGACAACATTGGTTATTAAACATGTTAAGGTTGATACTATAAGTAATTTTTTATCCGATGGTTCAAATTTTTCATTCAAGAATTGCTTTTAATCAAAATATATTTATTAATTTCAATACGTGCAAATAATATACCAATAATTATATTACATCTACAAAAATTAGATATGTCGGAAAATAAACCTTACATATTTACGACCATACACAAGACACAAATTACACATTACATACTGTACAAACTAATGATCAAAAATTTCAAAGTTTATTTCTTTCGACAAAACTTCTTACCAACCTTAAAACTCTTTTATCGCCCTGTGCACATTTCCGAAGTTTTTCAGGTGGATCTGCATCCATTTGTTGCAAAAACATATCCCGTCCTATTTTAATAATTAGTTAAATATGGGCTTGCCATTCCTTACTCACCTTGCAGTGGTCTATTAGTTATTTGTTATGCCAAGCCCTTCCAATACCCTGCCATTAAGATTCCGTAGTGGTACAGGAAATAATGCTCACCTGAAACATATGCTAAAGGTAAAGTCATTTTTACCTTCAATACAAAATCGGCATCACTATCCTATATTGCAAATTTTGATTTCTTCCGAACAATAAGATTCTACCTTCTCTTGGTCCGCTATTACCAATAAAAAGTGGTTCTTCTAAAGCGTTAAAACGAATTGTTTTGTACTTCTCTGGCATCAAAACCTCTTGAAATGGACTTGGGACTGACGGTAGGGCTGCTTGTGAAAGATTTCCAATACAGACATTAATGACCTGGGCGTGATTCTTCTGCTCTTTTTGGCATCGTCCCAATTGTTATATAGTAAAAATAGACTGGATCCAGGATCCTCATAAAAGTTTTGTGTCATCTTCCTTAGGTTTAAAACCTACTGTTTTCTCAACCCAATTGAAATATTCAAGTCACAGTCTGCAATCTTTTGTGGCGTCTGTAAATACCTCCAATGGTTTTGTAGGTTGTAATGGGTGTTTTTTTTTTCGATGTACAGAACTTTAAGTTGGCATTACTGTTCAAGAAGGCGGCCGATTTAATAGTTGTCAAGCGATTTATTCCCAGTTTGGTTTGGCAATTCATCATGAATAGACTCACGCCTGAACAACGCTTGCAAATAGTGCAATTTTATTTCGAAAATAACGGTTCTGTGCGGAATACGTATCGCGCACTACGACCATTTTATCGTCGACAAAATCGTCCATCAAAGCAGTTAATTCGATTAACCATGGAACGTTTTCGCACCACGTTTACTCTTATTGATAACTCGCATCCCCAGAGACGCCGTACGGTGCCTACACAAGAAACTATTGCTGCTGCAGAGCGTAGCATTGAGGAAGACCCGAATGAGTCCATCCGTCATCGAGCACAGGAATTGGATCTGTGTCCATCCACTTTATGGAAGATTTTGCGGAAGGATCTTGGTTTACGTGCTTACAAAATCCAACTCGTGCAAGAATTGAAGCCAAACGATCATCAAGTAAGGCGTAGATTCGTCGAATGGGCCCAAAACGAGATTGCCGTTGTTCCCGATTTTCATAAGCGAATTTTGTTTGGCGATGAAGCGCACTTCTGGTTGAATGGCTACGTCAACATACAAAACTGCCGCATTTGGAGCGAAGCCAATCCTCAAGTGTATGTCGAAACACCATTACATCCAGAAAAACTGACTGTTTGGTGCGCTTTATGGGCTGGTGGAATCATTGGTCCGTAGTTCTTCAAAAACGATGATGGCCAGAACGTTACAGTCAATGGTGATCGGTATAGAGCTATGATTACTAACTCTTTCATTCCTGAATTGAATAACCATGATGTCCAGGAGATGTGGTTTCAACAAAACGGCGCAACATGTCACACAGCTCGTGCCACAATCGATTTATTGAAAGACACGTTTGGTGACCGCCTGATTTCACGTTTTGGATCTGTGAATTGGCCTCCAAGATCTTGTGATTTAATACCGCTAGGCTAACCATTTGGAAGACAACATTCGCCATGTTATTGCCGATATACAGTCACAAATATTGGAAAAAGTCATCGAAAATTGGAGGTCTAGATTGGACTACATCCGCTCCAGCCGCGGCGGTCATATGCCAGAAATCATATTTAAAATGTAATCCCAAAAGATTATCTTTCGGATAAATAAAATTCATGTCAATCGAATAATCCATCGTTGTTGTATTGCAACTTAAATTTCTATACATCTAAAAAAAAACACCCCTTATATAACTACTATTTGATGGAGTAGCACTTCCTTGACTTACTGGAAATGGAATTGTTTAACTTTGTCTGTGATGGTTTTTTAAATATTTATATAAGTCCATATCAATAAATGCATCACATTTTATTATAAATCATTCCACTTCTTTAACGAGAGCAAACGAAGTCTTTATGTTGAAGTTTTGGTTAGTTTTGACTGGATGACAAGAATGCAATCAAAGAAGCTTAGCTTTTGTCCCAGTGCTGATTTCTGCGAGTGTATACAAAATATGGTATTCTACTTCTGGTATTTATTTTATAAAGTACATTTAATTCTCTGTACACACGAAGGCTATATTGTGCTGTCATTGACTGCAACTATTTATCATCAAAGTTTAATTTTAAGATATCAAATAGGCCCAGATATTGGTATTTATTTAATTTCACCTTTAAAGCAGCATTGCCCACATGATACAATTCAAATACTGTTTAATGAGTTTATGATTGAAATTTGCTATTCTTTAAAACCTTTAATATCGGCTTGAAGATTGTCTGTTCTGATATTTAATTTATTTAAAATTTATGGATTTGATTGTGAAATATTATAATAAAGCTTGTGAGAAAAGAAAAAAGAAGACTAGAAATAAATAAACTAACTTGTTAGTATTAACTTGTGTGCCTTAATTGTAATTATAACATTTTTTTTTATTTTATTGCTGATTGCTTTTTTAGGTTTTATGGTCAAATTCAAATTCAACAAACATTGCTACGTCTAAAATTCTAGTAGTTTACACTAACTGTCAGAATCACTTTATTATGTTTTACTTATATACTAATATTGTATTTTGATCCTTTAAACGGTTTATCGATTACTAAAAAAATATACCAAAAAATACAATTACAAATACAACAAATTACTGACAAACTTGAATATCGTAAGTAATAAATTATCCAACTTCTTTTGTCAACTCCTTTATGCTTACGTAATATGCATACGCATAGAAAAGGAGGAACGCAAAATTTCATGCTCTCACGTCGAGGTTTTTTTCAAAGAAATTCATTCTTTGTTATTTTCTGAAATTAAATATTGCATCAATCAGATCAATTGTGAGAAAAATCGAACATATTTCGGAGAAGTTTACACTGATAAATTCCTTTTAAAACGATGACGTTACAAAAAACCGTGTCGGATTCCTTTTTGGT